GCTTATTTCACTTAGCTTGATAGTTTCCAGTTCCATCCATTTACCAGCAAATGCCATAATTTCATTTTCTTTGTGCTGAGTAATATTCTATTGTTCATATATGCCACATTGTCTTTATCCACTCATCTGTTGAAGGGAACCAAGTTGTTTTCATAGCTTAGATATTGTGAGTTGAGGGGCTACAAACACTGATGTAGCTGCTGATTTTAAGTCCTTTGGGTATATGCCAAGGAGTGGGATAACTGGGTCAAATGGTGGTTCCATTCCAAGTTTTCTGAGAATCTGCATAATATTTTCCAGAGTGATTGCACCAATTTGCAGTCTCGCCAGTAATGTACCTTTTCTCCCACATTCTTGCCAATATTTATTGTTACTTATAGTCTTGATATTTACCCTTCTGACTGGAGTGAGATGATGCCGTACGGGCCACCAAATGCCACAGTCTGGCTGGGCACAAAATAACCGAGCCGCCACACAGCCTTGTAGGTTCAAACAGGAACTCCTTTATTCTCTGCACTCCCCACACACATGGCGGCCTTCTCCCGGGCCACACCACACACCAACCGGAAATCCCTCCTCCTGCACTTCCCCAACCAATGGGAACTCTCCGGGAATCCTGCATGAGAACTCCAAAGTAGCTGGCCAAGGGGGACAGCAGGGGTCTAATATACAATTGAATACACAGCTTAACATAACCATTATCATCTCAATGGCTTGCTGGCATCACCTCTCAACCACTCATTCTGGCAAAAATGCCATGGGTCATTCAGACTAGGCTATGGCTCTCAGCACTTTTTCTTCTAATAGGCTCAGGGTCTATGGTCTAATGCCAAGGTCCTTGATCCACTTTGAGTTGAGTTTTGTACAGGGTGAGAGATAGGGGTCTAATTTTATTTTGCTACATATGGATTTTTAGTTTTCCCGGCACCGTTTGTTGAAGAGGCTGTCTTTCCTCCAACATATCTTTATGACACTTTTGTCTATTATGAGATAACTGTATTTATGTGGGTTTGTCTCTGTGCCTTCCTGAGCAGACAAGTTTTAAAAGAATGACTTTTACTATTGTGTGAGAAATAGATAGGGGACATTGAAGAAGGGAACAAGCTATGAAACTTACAGCAAATCCAGCAAGAGAGGTTAGCAGCTCAGACCAAGGAGATGGCAACGAGTGGGGTTTGGGTCACAGATCTATTTGAAGTTAGAGTCAACAGAATTTCTGGATGGGTTAGATGTGTGATGTGAGAAAAAGAAGAGTCAAAAAATAGTGGAAAGAGTTGGAAGAACTCTGCAATGAAAATTATAGAATAGAGAAGAATGAAATTGAAAAAGACCTTAGAATATGAAAAGACTTCCCATCTCGTTGGATAGGCAAAATTAATATTGTCAAGATGACCATACTACCAAAAGCAATCTACAGATTCACTGGGATCACCATCAAAATACTAGTGACATTCTTCACAGAACTAGGAAAAAAATGTCCTAAAACTCACACAGAATAATAAAAGACCCAGAATAGCCAGAGCACTCCTGATCAAGAAGAATGATGCTAGAGATATCATGACACTGGATCTCAAATGATACTACAGAGCTATAGTAACAAAATGAGCATGGTATTGGCATTAAAACAGACATGAAGACCAGTGGAATAGTAGAAGACACAGACAAACCTATGTAGATACAGTCATTTGATCCTTGAAGAAGATGCAAAAAAAAAATAATATGCTGGTGAAAAAAAACAACCTTTCAAACAAATGGTGCTAGGAACATTGGATATTCATATGTAGAAAAATGAAACTGTAATCCAGTCTCTCACCCTGCACAAAAAATCAACTCAAAGTAGGTCAAAGATAAACCAGAAACACTATAACTGCTCAAGAAAACAGAGAGCCAACACTCCAACTTATAGGTACAGACTCTGACATTGTTAATACAGTCAGAGAAAACTTGAAAAATAAAACCAAGAATCAATAAGTGAGATGGCATCAAATTTAAAAGCTCTTGCACATTGAAAGAGCCAAGAGTGTGAAGAGAGATCCTACAGAATTGGAGAAAATCTTTACCTGCTCTACTTCTGATGAGATTCATATCTAGAACTAAAAAAATTTAACACCAAAAAAAAAAAAAAGAAAGATACAAAGAAAGAAAACCCAATCAATAAATGGGCAAATGAACTTAGTGGACATTTCTCTAAAGAAGAAATGCAAATAGTCAATACATATATGAAAAAACGTTGACTATCTTTAGAGTCAAGGAAATGTAAATCAAAACCACACTGAGAATTCATTTCACTACAGTTAGAATGGCAATCATCAAAGATACTAATTACAATAAATGCTGGTAAAGATGGGGGGGCAGGTATTCTCAAACATTGTTGGTAGGATTGCAAATTAGTACACTCACTTTGGAAAGTAGTATGAATGTCCTTCAAAAAGAACAGGAATGGACCAGCTATACCAATTTGGTATTTATCCCAAAGAACTAAAATCAGCCTACTATAGTGATACCCACATACTAATGTTTATAGCAGTGCATGGAACCAGCCTCGGTGTCCCTCAATAGATGAATGGATAAATGTAGTATATATACTCAGCCATAAAGAAGAATGAAATTATATAATTTGCTGGTAAGTGGATGGAACTAAAGAACATCATGCTAAGGGGAAGTAAACCAGATTCAGAAAGTCAAGCTTAGACCAGAGAGAGATCTAAGCTGGAAATAAAACTTGCGAAGTTATCCACATAAGGATGTGATTTAAATTGTGATTCTGGAAGCAAACACCAAGGGACTGTGTACAGAAATGAAGGGGACCAAGGACTGAGCCCTATAACTCCTCATGGAAAAACTGAGCAGAAGAGAAGGGACCAGCAGAGGAAACTGGACAGAAATGACCAGTGTCCTGGAAGCCTAGAGAAGAAAGCATAGAGGAGAAAGAAAGAAGAAAGACATCTCAGTGCTCTGACAGGTCATGATGGGGGCTGCAAACCAGGACATTTTCCAATTTTGTGGTCACTGGTAACCTAGACCAGAGCTGTTTGGGAAGAGGGTGCGGAGTGTGACAACCAACACTTAGCTTAAGTATGATTAAGAATTACTGTTGTATCATGACTATCATGCTCAGGGGATTGACATAATGAATAAGAATTAATTCATTCAAATAAGGATGGCTGCCCCATCCTTATTTACACACTGTACAAAAGGATCCTACATGTAAATGGATAAACACTGCCTCCAGTTACTAGCGGAGCCTGATGTTCCCCTTCTCGCTAACTTCCAGAGAACTTGGCAGCCTGCCTTGAAAGCAGCCAGGTATCCCAGAGGCAAGGGTGTCAGAAGGTAGAGACATGATGCCTCCTGCCACTGACTGACACGCACCTCGGGAGGAGTCACTGTTCATTTAGGGAGAGAATCTCAAAGACGAATGATACCTGCCAAGAGAAGCTCCAGACCAGTCATTGAATGAATCCATTTCACTTTTAATTTTAGAAGGAAACCATCAGGAAGAGTGGCAATAAAATCATAAAAAAAAAAAAATTCCTAGTATTTTTTTTCACTGATTGGAAAAAGAAGCATTGTGGAAATGTCCTTCCAGTGCCCTTTCTTCACATCATCCTACAATGAGTGACTTCTGAGTTCCCTAAGTATTGGGACTTTGAAATATCTTTCCATCAAAATGTGTTATTCTTTCTATGACCCATCCCTCTCTATTTCATTCTTGTTAGAAATAGATTTTCAGTTTTACAATAAAGGCACATTAAGTTTTGAAATGGTAAAACCACGTGCTCTCTTTGTGCAAGTGGCAATTTTATACCTCCGGAGATTTGTCAATCCCCTGAGCAGGATAGTCACTGATACAAAATTAAAATCCACTATTCCAAATGATTAAGATGGACCCCTTGAGGGGGAAGGTATAAACAATGCTGATTTTGTCTTTCCCGTCCTGCCTCTCTTCTGCCCTGTTATGTAATTGGTAAGAACACTGGGTAGTTTGTGAGCTTTGGATCTGTAGAATGAAGTATGGTGGTCCTTTTGTTTTAAGCAGCTGCTCCAATGTTTAATAGCATTTGATAAGGAAATTGGAGTTCTTAGAATGAGTGTATGATGTGAAAACACCAAGAATTAATCCAGAAATGAGTATAGGAGAATCTGTGAATTGCCTGTCACTCACAACACCCTTTGCTTCAGTTTCCTCTTTCCTGTGGTAGGATCATCATGTTACAGGGCCCTTGCAGGATGGTAGATGTTATGTGAACAGCTAATGCTATTAATGATGCCAGCAGCCTCCCCTCACACTTGGATCTGTCTGTACCCTCTATGTCCCCTTGTTGCTTTGGCCCCTCTCATTCTTGTACTTGCCCATCAGTTACATTTTGTATTTAAAGACCACTCTGTACAAAAGCCTGTGATCACAGGAGCAGCCCTGAATCTACGCACCCACCCCCGCTGGCTGGAGTTAATATTCTGATTCAGTGTTGTTTCTAAAACCAGTTTGATTTATACCTTCCCTATTGCATTGTGTTTTTCTTCCACAGCCACATACAGGTCATGCCCCAACTGGTCACTGCATGGTTCTTCATTAGACTGGTTTGGGGTTTTACAAGGTGTTAGAATTTTTGAATGAGCTCATAGGGTCCCTCACATGTGAGTTTATGCCAGAGAAGTTATGGAATGATTAACTTAATAGATGCTGTTTATCCCCAAAGACGACCGGCTTTATTCATACTCAAGCTAAGTGATGGTGGTTAACAAACAATTCTTTGTAAATTGTGATTGCAGAGCCAGGCAATTTTATGGCCTTTTTTTCCTAGCGGTATAAGTGATTGGGTAGCTCATTAAGTTTACCATGTTGAACGAAAGCCTTCCTACTCCAAAGGATGGTGAAGATGGAGAGAGAAGGAATCATTAAAGAGGACCTTTAAGAGGAAAAAAAAAAGTAGCCCTAGCATATTGGAATGTACAATTAATTTTCCCTAATTGTTCCTTTTCTGCATTTTCCCCTGCAGAGCTGCTCAGAAGTTAAATCTGTCTTCCAAAAAGAAGAAACATCGACCTTCTACTTCTTCTGTTGCTGAGACACCTCTCTTTGCCACCAGCTTCAGTGGGATTCTGCAGACCTCCCCTCCCCCAGCCCCACCCTGTCTGCTGAGGGCTGTCAACAAGGTGAAGGACACTCCAGGCCTGGGCAAGGTAGGCACCTCTTCGTCATTTGCTCAGTGTGGGGTTTTGGATCAAGTTTGGGAAAGAAGAAAATAAGGGTTCCAATTTGTTAAAATACCAAGGTACCATGGACAAAAGGAGACAGAATGAAATTGATTTGGAGGTAATAGTTGTCCCCCCTTTATCTATGGTTTCGTTTTCTGCTTTTTTAGTTACCCATGATCAACTTCAGTCCAAAATTATTATGTGGAAAATTCTAGAAATAAAAGGTTATTATAGTTTTAAATAAATTTTATTACAGTTATAGTTGTTATAGTTGTTCTATTTTATTATCATTGTTGATTTCTTACAGTGACCAATTTGTAAATTAAGCTTTATCATCGTATATACAGGGTTTGGTACTATTTGCAGTTTGGGGCATCCACAGAATGTCTTGGAACACATCCCTCACAACTAAGGGAGAACTAGATGTGACATTCAGCTTTTTATTGTTGTAACTAAAATACCTGGCAAGAACACTTCAGAGGAGGAAAAGTTTATTTTGGTTTACAGTTTCAGAGGTTCAGTCCATGGATTAGCTGACTGTCACTGTGGGCCTGAGGCGAGGCAGAATATTGTGGTGAAAGGGTATGGTGGAGGAAAGCTACTCAAAAAAACCCCACAAAGGCATGCCCCTCCATGACCTCCTTCCTCCAGCCATACCCACCTGCCCGTAGTTATCCCCCGGTACAGTAGTCCTTTCAAATTACTAGTCCATCAAATGTATTAATCCACTGATTCGGTTACATAATCTAGTCATTTCACCTCTGAGCATTCCTGCATTGTCTCACACGTGAACTCTCAAGAGACACCTCAAATTCAAACCATAACACTCTCTACTATAAAATTTTCTGGTTACATAAATTAAATAAGACATTCAAATTGTTGGAGACCTGATTTGATTTTGGTGGGGAGAAAAATGGCTTTGCCTTACTTGACAGAACTATAGGCATTTGAAGAAAAAGACACAAAAGAGAGGCAGAGTCAGGAGACCCAGAGTAGATGAGGTCTAGGAAAATGACATAAAGGCACTTCATAATTTCCCTGTGGCAGTTTTGTTTTTGTTTTTTTCTCCCCTTCAGAGAAATCATGACTTCTGCATCTGAACCAGACCACCAATGGGATTTCTGGGAAGTATTTTCGGTCATGCCTTTCTAGTGAGAAATGCAATTTTGCATTGTTACAAAGACCTAGAAAGACATGTAGGAATTCTCTTATAAGATGCCACTTTGCTACTTTTGGGATAACTCTATTTTTAAATGTCATCTCTAGGCCTTTTCTTTCTTTTGAGATAAATGTATGAGTGAAGTAACTCACAGCTTCTTTGGTAGGTAAATAAGTTGGGACTTGTGAAAACACTGAGCTGATAAAAAAAGGGGCAAAAACTCTTTTTTTTTTTGTCACAAGTCGATTGATGCACACTACCTGGTGACCTGACTTTGGCCTTGGGCTTCATTTTGGAAAGTTCCTGTTTGTGTTAGCTTTTTATCCCTGTGACAAAATACCTGAGGAACAACAACTTAGAGGAGAAAAGACTTATTTTGGCTCATGGTTTCAGAGGGTCCGTGGTGGGCTAACTCCATTGCTTTGGGTCTGAAGCGAGGCAGAACATCATGGTCAAAGGGTGTGGCCCAGGAAAACTGCTCTCCCCAAAATAGGCACAAAGCAAGGATAAGGACAGATCCACCCTTCAAGGGCTTGTTCCCAGTCACCCACTTCCTCCAAGTAGGTCCTTCCTCCTGCAAGTTTCCCCACTCCCATTAAGACATTCAATTATAAACTCATCAGTGGATTAATTCCTTGATTAGAACAGAGCCCTCATGATCTAATCACCTCCTCAAAGCCCTGCTTCTTTTACATTGCTGTATTGGGGACCAAGCCTTTAACACAGGAGCTTTGAGGCACAGTCCAGATCCAAACTATAATGATGGTCTTGCTGAAGGGGACAGTAGCTAAACTGTACAGATTTTACTAGCTCACATCACAGACTTCCTGTTCCCTTTACACTCAAATATGTTCATATCCAGGTTTACGGTCTTCAGAAGGCTGCTGTCCCCCCAGTGTTGACCCTGGCATCTGCTGCCCCTTCTTCCTTTATTCTTTTCCTCACTCTCCATTTCTCCCACCCCAGTCTCACCAACTCCTTGGGAAAGTCTTAACTTCATGACACTCTTTCCAAAAGTGTTTAAATTTTGAGATTAGGTTGTATCAAGCAATGGTTACTCTAATAGAAGGCATCCAGTTCTGGAACTGGACAGGGCAGATAGTTGTTGGCTGAAGACTTTCCCAGGCCCGGAGGTAAAGACCCACCTGAGCAGCAGGGGAAGGCTGGTGACGCTCCCACTAGGGAGCACAGGAGTCATGGAATGATAACTGCTAAGGACTGTGGGTCTCTTTAACTATAGAGCCCACCTTTTAAATCTGGTAAAAAGCACACAGCATGCAATTTACCATCTTAGCCATTTTTAAGTATGCATGGGCTTTTATTTGATAAGAGTTCAGAACATCAGTGCTGACAGTTAACTGTCCTGGACAAAGGGAAAGCCAGCCACCATTCCATATCCTGCTCCCGCCTCCAAACATCCTCTTCCTCCTCTTCTGAATAAGCATGAACAAATAAGTACATGATATCCCTTTTATGAGAGGCACCAGATTACTGGCCAGTGTGGGGCACTCATATAACTCCACATGGCCTTGTTCAAGACACCTCAAAATGAACTACATTGGAACTGTCTTCCTGCATCTGTCACACTGGCCTACACTGTCTGATGTGGATGCACCTTCAGGCGGGCCTGGGCCCCAAGCCTAAGGCCTTTGTTCTCTTCTTCCTCATCCTTAAAGTCCTCCCTAGAATTCTGACAAGGGAATAAGGCTAGGGACAAACACAGAGAAGTGTTGACCCAGCATTTTCATAAAAATAGTTGGAGGATAAAGGGCACTGGTTTAATCTTGATTTCATGATGTACCACTGTAGCAACCAGGTGTGAGGGGCCTTACAATGAATAGTTGTACTCAGTAATAAACTCAGGTTTGTAGATTTTACATTTGTTTGTTTAAAATTAAAACTGTGATCTCCCTTACTCATTCTCAGTTCTAAATGCAATCAAAGCCTTGAGTTTGTCCATGGAAGTGTATCATGGATGAGGGCATCAGCCTGGGGATCACAGAAGGTGACCAGTAGATACATGGCAGCTGAATCTACCCTCTTGTCCTGCTGAGCCTTCAGGGATAGGGTGTGGGGTGTGATAGTCAGAGGGAATGTGTTCTCTGGAAGATATGAGTAGCCATATACTTGTTACATTAAATGTGTACTTTCATTAAAACAAGAAGTTATCAGGCATACATTTGATCTTGCTTCTTCCTGCTTAAAGAGTGTCTGGTTTTTGTAGCCAGGCACAATGGTGCATGCCTATAATCCCAGCAGCTCAGGAGGCTGAGACTGGAGGATCGTGAGTTCAGGGCCAGCCTCAGCAACAGGGAGACACTAAGCAACTCAGTGAGACCCTGTCTCTAGATAAAAAATACAAAATAAGGCTGGGGATGTGGCTCAGTGGGAGAGTGCCCCTGAGTTCAATCCCCGGTATCCACCCACCCCCCCTAAAAAAACAGTGTCTGGCTTTCACATTGGCAGCAATTTTTACTCTGCTATGCCATAGAGGTGTCCAACTGCCTGACCCATTTTCTCAGACTCTGGCTTTGTCCACCTCCACTGATATCTCACTATAATTAGGACCTGCAGCTTTCTTTACCCATGTGGAAAAAAATTCCATCCATTTATCTCTGTTGCATAATTTACATTTTAATACCTCAAAGAAACACAGTGGAGTTTAATAAAGAACATAAATAATTGGCACTATTTATAATTCGGCAAGTTTGAAGTAGCCGAGCTTGATTGAATTGCCCAAAGCAATTTGACTTTTTAAACTTAAGCTGGGGCCTTCTGGGGTGGGGGTGGGGAGAACGAGGGGGCTTCAACACTTGAGGTGGCAGCCTAACAATTGCCTATTAAACCCTAACTACCCAGGATCTCACTCTGGAAACCTGGGAGGTTTCCACAGGCATGGCAAGAACTTTAGGCATTTATCTAGAAGAGCAATCCTCTTATTTAGTAAACAAGAAAACTTAGGTCCAGTGAGGGTAAGAGATTGACTGGTGGACTCTAAACTCAGGGATGGAAGTCAAGATCTTTATGGTGTTATATTTGCTACCATTTCACTGGAGTGCCAATGGATATAAGTGACTTTTTAAAATCTTGGGTGGAGACAAGAAGGCTCTGGAACCATAGTAGTAGCAGAATAATATTGGGAACTAGTTGCCCTCAACCAGTGGAGAAGGGTTTACTTTTCTTTTCAGAGTCATAGGTGGGAGATAAAATGTAATCATATTCAGGAACAAACAGATAATAAGATGGAGAAGGGCAGTTGTCCACACCAGCTCCATCATTCCCACTCTCTGCTGCTTCCAGAAGCAACCCCTAATCTCCCACCACCATGACAGTCATTATTATCTGTTAGTACTTGAGGCCATGGAAGAATTTGAGATAATTTCAGTATGCTCAGACTTGAACACAGCACTCACACACAGGATTGGTTTCAAGATCCCCAGCTCCTAGAGCAACTCCTGGAATGCAGCAAATATTTATTGAGCATCTACTATGTGTCAAGCACTTGGCAGTGTGTTTACCATGATGGATAAAGAAGAGTGTCTGTGCTTACTGAGCTTATAATCTAGGGTTTTATTCCAATCAAAGTTAGAAATCTCATTATCTTAGACCAATATGGCAAACATATGATTTCAGAAAAAGTAAGAATGACAGACTTAAAACGATTTCAATTTGTACAAAGAAATGATTCTACTAAGTGGCCTTGTAGAGACATTCTTAAAGAGTAGATAAAGATGATTAGTGGATCAAAGCAGCTTAGTTCCCTTTTTTATTGCCTTGATTTGGCTTATATGTAAATGATACTTCTAATCTGTTTGAAAATGGTTCC